AGGAAGCCGAAGCCACCCATCCCTTATAAATAGGAGCCATAGTCAGTTCATTTGAAACACTGAAGTTGCATCGAGGATTCAAGCAAAGGGTAAGTCTCTAGACTCTCTCTGTATTGTTCTTCATGTTCTTCGTGTCCTTCGAAGCGTTCTTCGTCGAAAGTCACTTATTTGGACAAATGATCCAATATTGGTTGACGAATCAATAAAGTTAACGTTCTTCGTCGTATGTCCAAGCCGGAGGAAGGATCAAAGCTCTCAAAGCCGTTGAGGAATTCGTCAAAGCCAAGGGAAGGTCTTCAAAGTTCTTCTCAAAGCTTCAAGATGTTCATCGCATTCTTCAACAAAGCATCAACTCGGCCCTCTTCGATCCAAAAGTCAAAGGGACATGCCACCAAAAGCGTTATGGAGCACCAAATCCACCTTCTCAAAGATCAAAGTTGTGGATTGTTTAAAGAGTACATCAAATCCAAAGCTTAGGATCAAATCACCCGCACGGAGACCAAAGCCCTCCAAAAGCGGCAAAGACAAATCAAAGATCAAAGCTGCGGATCGTCCAAAAAAGACATCAAATCCAAAGCTGAGGATCAAATCGTCCACACGGAGACCAAAGCTCTCCAAAAGGCGGAAAAAGCAAATCAAATATCAAAGCCGCGGATCGTCCAAAGAAGACACCAAATCCAAAGCAGATGATCAAATCGCCCCAAAGTCCTCCAAAAGCGGCAAAGCCAAAGCAAAGATCAAAGCCTCGGATCGTCTAAAGAAGACAACAAATCCAAAGCCGATGATCAAATCGCCTACGCGGAGACCAAAGCCCTCGAAAAGGCGGCAAAGCCAAATCAAAGATCAAAGCATCGGATCCTCTAAAGAAGACATAAATCCAAAGCCGATGATCGAATTGCCCACATGGAGACCAAAGTCCTCCAAAAGGCAGCAAAGCCAAATCAAAGATCAAAGCTTCGGATCGTCTAAAGAAGACATAAATCTAAAGCCGATGATCAAATCGCCTACATGGAGACCAAAGTTCTCCAAAAGACGGCAAAGCCAAATCAAAGATCAAAGCCTCGGATCGTCTAAAAAAAGACATCAAATCCAAATGTGACGATCAAATCGCCCGCACGGAGACCAAAACCCTCCAAAAGCCGGCAAAATCAAACCGAAGACCAAATATCTTCGGATCAAAGAAGCAATAGAAAACCAAGTTGGAAAATAAATCGACCCGGAAGGAGAATCAAAGGATCCATTTAGATAATACCCGCTTTAAATTCAATTCAAATATAATTTGTACAAATTTTGTGTTTATTAAAAATAACACAATTTTTTGTCCACAATACATAATTAAAAAATATCACCACTATTTATTGCTTAAATAACCCTCCTACGTGAAATGTTTTGTAGCAATAAACAATCATTACTACATACAACCTTTCCTAACATTATATTACGTCGACTATTGTTATGATATCTTCCAAACCCTCAGCTTGGTTATTATTCATCAAATAATCAATGACTGTCTTGATCAATTCCATATCCACTTGGATGTCTTCAACCAGGATTTAAGTGGTATTTTGTAATTATTTTCACCTCTATTGACTATTATCTCTACAATATATCCTTGAAAACTTAAGAAGACTGCATTCAATGTATTGTGTGAGAGCTGGTCAAAATAATTAGCCACTGTCTTTAGTAAATCATCTATTGTTGTATCTGATGTTGTAATTTGTAATGATTGCAACTCCCGAAACCATCCTAGGTCATTCACATTGTTGTTCGAATTGGTTGGAGGTTAAAACACCAAGTTAAAGTTGAATCCTTACTTGGTAGCCTCTTCTCTAAAATCAACATTGTCATTGTTGATATGTAACTTAGCATTTTCTTGCTGAATTATGATATTTCTATCTCCATTAGCTAGCACTTGTCTTGAATAGCTAGTACCACCTACGGTATAGTCATCAATATGAATTATGTATGTAATTCTTATTTAGGAGACTTACTTAGGTTGTATTTTACTCGATGATGACAATATTTTAAGGGTAATTAATGTGGAATGTAGGTACCTTATTAATTAGAAGCCTCTTCTTGACTTCTTTTGTGATTGATTTCAATAGTTTTGTCACTAATGTCTAGAGCTGACAATGAGCCGATTTGTGTCGGGTTCGTTCGACCCATCTACATATCTAAATCGAAATCCTTTTCAAATTCAATTTTTGTTTGTCGTATTTTTGTGTTATATTAGTTTTTATTGGTTTTAGTGTAATGTGTACAATGAATTATGTTGAATTATTTAAAATTAAACTTAATATAAATTAATATGTGAGATAATGATTAAATTAGAACTATTTTACATATATAAATAATATAATAATTTTGTCGGGTTCAAGTTGAGAGCTTCAATCCTAACCCGACTCGTTTATTATCGTGCTGAGTTCGTGTCAACATGTATACATAATCGGGTTGAAATCCTTGACCAAAACCCAATTATTTCATGTTGAGTTCATGTCGAGTTGTTGTGTCATTTCAGTTTTCGCCAGCTCTAGTAATGTCCCGGCCGCTCGATTTTTTGAATTTCTTTTGGTTGGAACTTTTTCAATAAAAGTAAAAATTCCTATTTTCCCATCAAATATACAATCCCCATTACAATGATAGGTCTAAACACAACATATAGAAAAGTTTCTATTTTTTGACAAGTCTTATAGGGTTTTATCTCCTCGGGCACCTAATAGCATCTTTCTGTCTCCTTAGATAGATTAAATCATTTCCCATCTATACGTACAACATGTGACATACTCTCAAACTTAGAAACATTTTGCTCACTATGAAATTCCAAGCTCCTCAAGCTGAATTTCAATTGCTCAATCTTGTTTTTGTACCTAAGATAGGGCTTGATGACATTCGTTTATGGTTTGATAAACCCTTGCTTTGCCTAAGTTCCTAAAGTTGATTTACTCACATGCTACTCTTTTACTAAATTCCTATATGTGTCTCTTTTATGTACAAAATTTTTTAATAAAATGTCCCTATCAAATGACTTTCTCTTATTGTGTGGAACCACTGATATTTTGTTCATTAACCGAATAGGCTCACCTATTTGTAATTGTTGCATTACCCTCTTTCATACTTTGAGCATCGGGGCCCACTAACCTTGAATTTTGTAACAATTTCTTTCATTTTTTCATGTGCTACTTTTTTTCATTACTTGAACTTTGTAATAACAATTGAACAATTGTGTTTAACTTTTGTAACACTTAAATTTTTTGTCCTTAGTATCACCCATTTTTGAAAGTATTGTGAAATTATAACTTAAATGCATTTATAATGTGATTGTTGTGGAAAAATTATAATTGGAGTTGGAGGACAAATGTATTTATTGCTGTAGAGAAAGAAATATGATATGATTGATTGATGATTATCCAAATTTTGGGGGGAAATGAAAATTAATGCTTAATGCTTTTGCCCAGTTTTTTCATGTTTTGGCTTTGCTGGTTTTGTATTTTGCATTCTACTTCTGCGTGCAGTGCATTATGTTTCAGTTAAGCATTTATATTATGCTTCAAACAATGCTATTTTTGTGCGCAACAACTTTTCTATGCTTCGATGTGATTAAAATTTTAATTCACTGATTTATCTTCTTTTCAGAAATTTCAATAGTTGAAAAGAAATAATTAGTGTTTTTTTTTTTCCAATATGTATTATCACATTACATATATTCTAAAAATATATTTAAATATTATACTACGTCTGTCCGTCCCGCAACAAGAGCACATATATTTTTTAATATTAATATTATATTGGTTTGTAGTAAAAAGACAAAAATGCCCCTATTATTATGGTGTAATATAAAATATTAAATTGAAATAGTAATTTGTATAATATTTTATTCATGAAATTATATTAAAATAGCATGTGCTTGTACTATTTAAATAATAATTTGTCCCCCTGCCTTAAGAGTCACATTACTTTTGTGTCGTCATTGTATTAACATTAAAAATATCTTTATATCTGTATAATATTTTGTACATGTGTCTTTCTATTAGTACCATAAGATACGAAGTATTTTTGTAACTTTTTCTTAATTTATACTACGTTTTGATATAATAATTAATATTCAAATATCAACATGCAAAAGATAAATGAGACCCTTAAAGGCCAGACGGAGATAGTAATTAATTTGGATATAATTTTTATTTTTGAAAAAAAAAATATATGCAACAAAAGTATAGCTTTAAAATGCATAAATTTTAAATTCTACTCGTATCATGTCTCGTTCTTTTTTATTTTTTCTTCCATGTTTTGGTAATTTTATTTGATGAAATAGAGAGAAATGAAGATTTGGAAATAAAGAATTTAGTGCCTATATATTGAATGTTTGTAAGAATTTTTTTGATACATCCCATAATTGTATGTTTATCTAATATATATTTTTACTTTAAAATGTAACTTGAACCAATAAATTTACAGTTATAGTTGAACACATTGTTTTCTAGCTTTTTACTTTCTGATTGGGTTCACCTAAAAGTGTCAAAATTTGAACATATAAACTAACGTTCACAATTTCATCATATATTAGTAAATCATTCTTGGCGAAACAATTTCTTTTTTTTTTTTTTGGCAAAATTGTCCATAACTCCTTGTGGTTTCGAAACTCGGCGTAAATCTCCCATTTACTTTAAAAATTGTATGGCGCCCCCTTATACTTTAAACAATGTTGCATGAAGACCAACTGTGATTTTAAAACTCAGCTTAACTCCCCACTTTACTTTAAAAAATTGTGTGGCGCCTCCTTATATTTTAAAAAATAGTGTATGACACCCCCATCATGCAAAACATACAGTAGGAAATCATACTTTCATCACACAAGGGAGTTTTAATGGTGGTGGAGTTTTACACAATATTTTTTAAAGTATAAGAAGTGTCATGCAATTTTTAAAGTTCAAGTTATGAGCAATTTTACTTATTATTATTATTTTTTTCATCTATTCTTTCTTTCCACAAAGGCTGTCATATATAGCAACAGTAGAGAAGGCTTCAAAGCTATTTAAAGAAAGTCTATAAATAGAAATAGAAATACAAAGCCAAGGTAGTGCACTACTCTAGCCATAGCGTATAGTATAACTCACTTCGAAACTTAAGTATCTGTTTATGAATAGCTGATCCGATCTGTTCTGATCATGGCGATGTACGAGAATATCATCCGAATTTTATACACGACTTTTTCTAGAAAGAAGTTGAGCTGTGCTGTTCTGTTGTGTGCATATACAATCTACACTCCTATAATCCTATTTACTACACCTGTACGGTATCTACTCCCATCCCATCCCATGGCCATGTCCTTCCTCATACTTGTAGCAAATGGCTACGTGAATGAATGATCGCTGCAGCAATTGCGAAAGACTGCAGAGAAGAAAGTGACGACTGGAAATTGATGTAGAACAGATCATCATGGATATTCACAATTCTCAATGCTGGAACGTCCACTTTTGAGCCCTGCCACAGAAATTCAACTTCTTACAAGGAATATGGATTGTAAATTTGTAAGAATCTGCCAAAGATAGAGATAGAGACAGATATATTATATGCTTCACTGACCTTGGTGAAGAGATCAACTGACTTGCATTGCCCTGTAGTACTATTGGTGTGAAATAACTCCTCGCTTAATTGAGCGGTCATGATTGTGAGCGGACAGCCCATGTCCCAGCCACCACAGTCGCAGCATCCACCTGAGACCCACCTCTCGACGAGGCTTGAAGGGCCACCACTACCACGACCACTACCAGCTGCCAGCTTTGGTCCACCATGAAGACCAGCAGGAATTACGACGTTGATGCTTGTCGTCGGGCATTTCTCAGCAGACACGGGTTTTGATTTTTTGAGGAATCTCAATCCCCATCCGCCGCTGGTGTCTGACTCCCGACAGTTGTTGGATATGTCCTTTACAATGATGGCAGCCAGTTGATGATTCACGCCTTGGAGGGGTTGTTGAATATCTTCTTCAGATGGATGTGGATCCCAAGGACTGTCTTCAAGAATAACACTTGATCGCAGGAATTTGGGAAATGAACTTTGTTTATATGACCCCCAATTCAATCTCTGGTTCTTCCTATAGGTTCGGTCTGAGAGTTGCAACTTCTTCTGGCCGGTGTTATCATTGGAAACCGACAAGAGAAACTGAGTCTCCCTCAATTCTGAGTAGTCTGGGCAGAATGATATTGCAGTAGACACTCGCATCACAGCCACGAGCTGCTGCTGCTGACGACGACTATCAGAATGCAATTCTCTGGAATAGAAACTATACACATAATCCAATGCCTTATCATCCGGATCCGGAGACTCCACCTTTTGCAACTCGGCCATATAGACTTCCTGCTTATCATCTACACTGAAAACATGGCGTATTAAGCCATTGCTCCATGTACACTGCAACATTCCCTGAAATGCAGATGCAGGAGAATACGGCGACGACGATGACAGGTCAGAGAAGCTGGAGTTGGAGTTGGTGCTCGACACAGAAACAATCCTATGATGCTGCACCGGCAATGTCATTGACACATTATGTTCCTTCTCTGGGTTTTGTCCAAATCTTGCAATATTAGAAGAGGCCGATTCGCTGGCATCAAGTGAATCTGTGGATTGAGATTTGGCATCGACAGAGCCAGAGCCAATCTGTTGACCTTTCAAGATGTTCATCATGCCAGCAAGATTCCTCCATTCACCAGAAGAGTAGTTACCCGGAGAGCACTCCTTTGCTAACCTAACCATATCTGTGTCAGGCGAAATGCGGGCTTTTGAGGAGGCATGAGTCCAAGCCTCAGCTCTCAAGGCATAGTCCCGTACCAACTCAAGGCATCCAAGGACATACTTTTCGTCTGAGGTTGTAATCGACTTGGGGTTACTACTGCTCTTAAAGCCCAACTCTCGAGCATCCAATATCAAACCCTGCTCGGGATCTAATTTGCTCCTGCTGCTGCTGCTGCATGTACTGGAGATGAGACTGAGACTGAGACTGGACTCCAGGCACAGGCTTAGAACACCACCAGGCTCCCTCTCCCCCTTACCCTGATTGTCTTCGTCTATGCTAAGCCTATCTCTGTGCGCATTCATACTCAACTGAAAGGCAATGAATGATGACGTATGCGAGTTGTGTTGAGTTGAGTTGCGTTGCGTTGATTGGAAAACCAAACCTTGGTTAATCCAACTCCCAATCCAATGTTATGTTTTGTACTTATATCTAATCTGGAGATAGAAATGACATGAAATGAAATTGCATTTCAGTCGGTCTAACCTGAGATGAAATCAAGCAACAACACAGCAAGCAGTAATTTGAGCGAACCACACAACACAAGTTTGCTTTAGTAATTAATCAAAAGGGGAAACCGAATCGAATTGGAATAAGAACATTAAAAGCAAATAAATTAAATAAATCAATGCTATGCAGCACAAGTGTGAAGAGAAGATAACTCATCATATGTATACCTATCTATGTATGCATTCAATGAAAGGAAAGGACGGTAAGGACGCCAATCCATCCACGTCCACGATCGAAGCAAAGGGAAAAACCAACAACTCCATTTCACGAATTAATTAAATTAAAGCCGCAACACTCTTCCAACTCAGTCAGAACACATGGGGAAGGGATGAAACCCAAAAGAGGGGAAAGCAAAACTTTACCGATTTTCCATACAGACGGGACGGAATTTCAAAAGCCTTACCTCAATTCTCATCCCTACCCCCATCGCTATCGCTGCTGCAATACCGTTCGTTCATCTCTACTCTACAACAGGAAGAAGCTTAACTAGCTGACCTCTCTCCGGAATTTGGGAGTCGAAGAAGCAAAGTCCCCCCGCCCAAAATAAAAGATCACGATGCCTGCCTTGCCTTGCCTGCCTTTTCTTCCTCCGATTTCAAACGGGATTGGTGGCGTAAGCCACGTTTGGGTTGGGCAAAATTTCTTGGGCAGCAGGGCCCACGCGCCACAAATTCTTGTATATAATGTAATGTAATGGTAGCAGGATTGAAATCAAACATGTGACCCCTCAGTCACAGTCTCAGTCTCAGTCTCACCCCCAACCCACCCATTCCCGCGGACATTACATTAAGATTAAAGAATGCGATGGTTTTTGAAAAGAGGTATACGCGAGACGGTGTGTATATGTATATATAGTATAGTCATAGATGTGGTGTGTGAGCTGGAATGCACGAGGAGGGCAGTGGTGTGGTGGAATCACACACCCGCCCACCCATGTATGTATGGCCAGCTGGGCCACTTAGCAGATGAACAGAGAAACACGCACATACATACATATATACATATTGAAATTGACATTGACATAGACATGGAGACAGACAAAGATAAAGACAAAGAGGAGCGGAGATGGGAAGGAAGCCTCAACTCGACCCTTGTCTTCTTTCCACGATACTAACATAACATGTGCTTCTCTCTCTCTAGTCCAAACTCTGTAAGTATAAACGCCGTGAATTTTTTTCATTTCAATTCAAAGTATTTGTTTGTTTATATTATATATATATATTATTATTTATATTATATATATATAATATAAAACAATAATAGTATTTTTTTAATGAATAAAAATATGTAGAATACTATAATCTTTTTGCATTTGAAAAAATATAAAAATATATGTTTATAAAAATAGTGGTATTTTAGTATTTAAATTTTATTACTTTTATTAAAATTATAAATAAATAATTTTGAGTGATACAACAAAAATAGTAAAACTAATATAATGAATTGGACATAGAGAATTAAACATAAGATTTGTTTGTTTAATATTTTGATTTGAGATATTTTTTTTTATAAGAGATATTTTTTTTTATAAGATATATACAAAATCATATAAGTAATATAAAAATAGTATTTTATGTTGAATATTAATTTATTTTTAAGAAGATAGAATATTTATATATATATTATAATCATATTGAAAAAAAAATATATTGAACAAATAAACCAATAATAAAAAAATATTATTAATCAATAATGTAAGTATTTCAAAAACATACTTATATAATTTCAATGTTACCGTGACACATGTATAATGTATAATGATGGGTATTTTTTTAAGTCCACGACATTCTGATATTATTATTCTCCTAACCCAATATAAAATTTTTATTTTTTTTATTTTGATCTTTTTCACATCATTTGTCATTTTTTTAAAACAAATAATTGTACATTTTAATTATATTTTAAAATTTCATAATTTATCATTTTTTAATTTTAATTAAATATTCATTTAATCTTAACCCATAATTATTATTATATCATAATTATTTTTTATAATATATTTTTTAATTACTTACTAATTATATTTTTTTTGTTAGATTTTTATGTTTACGATAAAGTGGACAAATTTTTTGGGACTGGAAAGTATTAAATGCTCATTGGACATGGATGAGCTGCTCATCTGGTTTCGTCGGTATGGTGCTGATTTGACCAGATTAGCATGTGTTATAGTATGCCCAACATATATTTATATATTTATCATACAATATATATTATATTATAATTCAACATATGTTATCTTATAATACAATATATACTGAAATATTTATAAGTATATATTGATCATTCCTATAATGTTTGATCCGATCAAATTAACACCACGATAGACTCGGCCGAATCAATACATAATATGCAGCCATGCTCATTATTAGATCATTTGTAATCATCCATCTTCTAATATAAATAATATGTGTTGCACGAAATGAATACACAAATTTCAATTCCGTTTCATCTCTCATATCTCTCACTTCGGTTACCTGATGTGAATTAAATTAGTACAAATATATATAAATGAAGTAGCATATATTAATATTATATATAACAAATATTTTAATAGAAAAATATAATTGTGAGAGCAAAAATCATTTGTAGCCAATTAAAATCTAATATTTTTTTTTTTTTTTCATTCTAAAAATATTTATCAAAATTAGTCTCACACAAAACAAAACACATCATCAAAAATCATTTGTAGCCAATTAAAATCCGATTTTTTTTTTTTTTCATTTTTGGTTCCACTCTAAAATATTTATCAAAATTAGTCCCACACAAAACAAAATACATTATCTTTAACCGTTCAAATTTTAATGGACCATGCTGACGTGACTGTTATGGACACTGATCTGGTAGCTGAGTCGGACAGAATACAGTCGTATGACATAGAACACAGTCGTGTTTAAACTTAAACTCAGCCACCCTCTTGACTGAGTTAAACACACGCATGTTAACAAACCACGCGCTCGTGTTAATCCTCAAAACACACCCGTTTCAGTGGAGGTTTTTGAACATAGCCGTGTTTATACTAAACAAGCCCGTATACAGTCTCACAATACCACTGGTTGATTTAAAATTAGCTAAACACGGCCGTGTTTCAGAACATACACAACCATGTTGGACCTCTTTTAAATAAAAAAATCATAGCCCCACGTGTCTCCATTTCAAACACAACCGACATTCTTCCAAATCTTCTACATTTCAGCCTCAGCTCTCCAACATTCCAACTTTACATTCCACCTATTATATTTTATATTCTTTAGGAGTAAGAATATTTTTGTGGAATCGCTTGTGAAGGTAACTTATAAATTAATTTTTTTGTTCAATTTATTGTATCTTATGATATAAAAAATGATAATGTGTACACATGGGGTGGGATTGCATACTGAAAATTAAGCATCAGCATTATACTGATTGCATATTAGCCATTGGATTAAAAATTTTAATCCAATGGCTAATATAAGATTAAGGGTGTAATTGTAATTTTAAGAACCCTAATTTATGTAACTACATCAAACCTCGCCCTCCATTGTTCTTTCACGCAGCAATCGGTGGGGGAGAAACGCCATCCTTCATTCTTCAATGGTTGACATCGACGAAGGTGAGCATAATTAATTATCCATTATTCCAACACATTCAATCGCTCAGCAAGCAATGGAGACATCGAAGAGTTTGCAATTTCAGATAAACTAGCGCCTTCGCCAATACCAGACGCGTTGGAACGAGAAGTCGCTCAATCGCGTAAGTTACCCATCGACAATTGACTTGAAATCGTGAACATCATAAACTTTTGTGATCGATTTCATTGAACTTATGCAATTTTGTTTAACGGTTTGGAATTTCATAAATAATCTTTAACATTTTCGTTTCAATAAGAGCCTTCAAACTACTACTAAAAATAAAATGCAGCATGCTGTTCAAGTAACATCAGTATTTCCATATGAAGAGAACAATATATCAATTTAATTACCAACATGATACGTGATTGTATTAATACAGATATCAGCATCTTACCATTTATCTTAAAGCATATTGAAATATGGTGGTCAGCATTTTGATTAACAGAATCTAGCATTCCATATGTGCAGAGTTTATAGATTGGCATGCTATGGAGTTTACAAAACCGGGTGATGCATACAATTTATATTGTGAGTATGCACACAATATGTGCTTTTCAGTAATGATAAAAATGCAGAAAAAGTTAAAAAAAGACCCGAAACAAATACAATACATGAAGTATTGTTGCAACAAAGCAGAGTTCAAAGAGGGTAGCAATGTTAAACCAAATCATCCTGAGATTCATCCAAACCAAAGCAGCGAGTCAGAAAGGATAAAGATCATGCATCGTAGTCATGAAACGAGAACAGGCTATAATTCAAAGATACGGCTTCAGTTTGACAAGGATAATGCAAAGTACAAACTGACATGCTTTGAAGACAACCACAATCATGATTTACATCCTCCAAAACACAAGCACATGCTTGTATTCAATCGTAGGATTGATGAATCACATTTAATCATTGCGAATACAAATTAGGAAGCTGGACTACCAATCAGATCATCGTACGTTTTGATGAAAATAGCTGCTGGAGGAAAGGAAAATATGGGGTTTCTGAAGTTGGACTTGAAGAATCACATGAAGAAAAGAAGGAAAGAAATTTTCAAGGAGGACGAAGCAAATGCGATACTGCAGTATTTTGGCCAAAGATCACAGAATAATCCCTTATTCTTTTATGAAATTGAAGTCGATTATGAAGACAAGATTGCTGATATATTCTGGTTAGATGCAAAAATGAGGGAAGACTACACATTGTTTGGGGATTCTATTACGTTTGACACCATATACCAAACAAATAAGAACCACAGACCACTACGTAAACATAGTCAGCATTTCATCTCAATTAACCAGCATTTCATCGTCAATTAGTCAGCATTGTGAATAATGTCTGTCAGCATCTTTATACATCTCACACAGCGTCTTATGTATATATCTGATCCTAACAATATTTCACCATCAGGTGTTTTCATGGGATTTAATAACCACCGCCAAACATCTATATTTTGGGCAACGTTGTTGTACGAGGAAACACAAGATTTATTCAAGTGGGTTTTCAAAGTGTATGGGTGGACAAGCACCGAAAACTATTTTTATGGATCAAGATTTGGCTATGGCTCAAGCACTAAGAGAGATAATGTCATTGACATTCTATGCTCTGTGCACATGACATATTGTACAAAATGCCAAAAAAAATATCAGTGCTCTTTACACTACAAGGTATGTTAGAATTATTACAGCTAAATGATGAATTTGAGAATCGAAGACCCCAATTACAACTACTCTACTTGCGTTGTACATACATGTTTGCTGAGATGTTTCAACATATTCTCAACGGGGTACAGGATGAAAACCAATTCAGCCTCAAGTGGGAGTATATGTTGCAGGCATGCTTCCCCAAAGGGCCTCATAAGTGGCTACTGATTATTTATTCATTGCGACAACAATGGTCTTCGGCTTGGACAAGACAACACTTTACTGCAGGAATGAGAACAACACAACTGAGTGAATCACTTAACTTCTCATTGAAAAGGTTCAAAAATGCAACCTACAAGACCCTTATGATTTAGCAACTGAACATGCTTCTTTACTTGCATTGTCTACTGAAATTAATGGATTAGAATGCTAATTTTGTTCTTTGTATATTCTATTTATTGAACATGAGTATGCTGAATAGGTTTTTACAACCGGACAATAATATTGTTCAATTTCTTAATAAATTTCAACGAGTGGTGGAGAATCATAGAGAAAAAGAGGAACAACAAGATTTCTTCGAACGGGACAGACGGTTGGCTACAAGTCACATGTTCAACCCATTGTTAAAATCTGCAGCTATGTTCTACACACCAAATGTCTCTCAATGGTTTCTAGAGCAACACCAAAGATCCTTTGAATTCATAACACAATGCTTAGATAAAAAGACAACATATCTTGTATATAATATAGAGAAGACAAGCGATCAACATCTTGTGCGTGTCAATATTCAAGAGTCTTCAATTGAGTGCACATGCAATATGTGGAAAAATACTGGAATGTTGTGTTGTGATTCAATACGCACGATGGATGTATTAGTAGCAACAGGGTGTGCACAGTTCAAAAACATCCCAGACAAATACATATTGAATCGATGGAGAAAAGATGCTAGAAGGATGTTACAGCAGCACCACACAAGCTTAACATCTAGTCGGGAGGAAATAGATTTTTCAGAAAGATACAAATTATTGTGCCACATGTTCATGAATTCCGCAAAGTTAATAGCATCTGAGCCAAAGAATTACAATTCATTCTTACATAAATTCAATGAATTGCTTCGCAACACAGTTGCATGCCCAAATCTGTATGGAGGAATGCCGACGGATGAAAACAACATTTACGTTTTCTATATATTTTATATTCATTGAAATATATATGAAATTAAACTAATCGATTCTTCATGCTACAGGAGAAGTGCGTAATACAACCACTGCAGGTCATTTAATATTGAAGCCAAGAGACAATCCAAAATGAAGAATTAAAAGAAAAGTGTCAATCAGCAATTACGAGAGACAAAAGAAGCATCGAAGGATGAATAAGAGAGATAACCATTGGGATAAATGCAAGGAAATTGATTTTTTGCTAGTTCATACATGATTTAGTACCAAACTATTGTGAATAATTGATGCTAAGCACTTACATATACAAGACCATGGATTTTGTCGAATAACAATAAGCATCATCCTGAGTACCAATAAGCATTTTCTACAAGTGTGTTTAAGATGTTAATGAACTATCAAATGAAATGAATGTTATTCCATAAAATACTGCAAAATTAATTGTCAATATAAAAAATTACTGCTGAAATCATGCAAGACAACATTCATTCTAAATATGCCAGCATATATATACACTAAGCCAATCATTTTACTATGTATCGGTCAGCATCTCTTGATTTAACATCGAGCAGCCTAAGTATTAAGCATAAATATATGCAAAAAATACAATCAATCAATCACCAATTAAACTTCAACCCATTGATGAACGCCAACAATCCATTCAAATTAATACAATTCGACCAATACCAACAATCCATTCAAATTCAATTCATCAATGTCAACAAACCAGTCATCACACTCAATTTTTTCCTTGCCCACGACCTTGTCCTTGACTACGCCCTCGCCCTCGACCTTGCCCTTGCACATTAACACGTTTTCGTGCAGCCATATTAATACGACCCTTCAATAGTTGAGCATCAGATTTTTCATCTTCAACGCATGCAATCTTAACACCAGCGCAAGCAATGACCTCTCTTTCACATCTCCAATATTATGATTCTTCTCCTGCAGTAAGATTTGTACACAATACATTTTTCGCAACCTATCTAAAAATTCACGCCTAGCAATTTGCTCACAAACCTGCCCAGTCAAGTCAATGGGCCAGTTTTCCATGTAGAACATAGTGAAAATGCCACAACTGTGGATATCCGGCTACATAACGTGGGGTGGCAACTCAACTGTATAATGGGCATCCCACCGTGGGTCGGGAAATAATATCTTTGCAGCCCGTCAGAAATACCCAAAAAGTCGGTCAAAAACCACTGAGTCCGAATTCCATCTATCAACAGTATATAAGCTATTGAAATAAAAAATTGCTTACGAAGAATGGACACGGAAATCAACACCCAATGGTTCGAACGACAGAATGGGAAAAAGAACTGCAATAATATACACAAAACCAACTTAGCATATCATAAAGCATCATATCATCATCTCAGCTTGTTAAACTCAGCATTCCATATATACATAAAAAGCACTCACATTGTCAGCCTTTAAGCATTCAATCCGATCGTCACCAAGGTATTTCATGTCCAACTGTCTTTCCCATTCCTTCACCAGTTCTTTGTCAGTTTTCCGGAGAAAATTATTCTCGATCTCAATGCGCACCATATACTACATGCATATAAAAATATAGCATTAGTTAAGGTCTTCCATAAGCATCAAATACTCAACGAGTTAGCATTATATATGATCAATAATTATCATCGATACATATTTTATGCACATGTATATATATACTTATAGCCACGTTGGATGATACACAAAACTTGGACATTGAAACACCGTTGTGCTTGCTTTCTCTTAAAGCTGATCTATTCAAAAAGGTACCAAATGCATCAACCACGTTGTTTGCAATGTCAGATGATGGACGTAAACTCTGGATATCATGCTTGAATATCACAGAGATTCCATCCGAAAAAATAATATATCCCAAGTCAATCACTGATGCGCGCTGTAAATAAAATGTTCACTTGACAGTCCTCTCTTCCTCCTCACTCAACTTGAATACATCAAAAATACTGGAGAAAGTTTCGTAGGGAGAACATAAAACTTTCAATGGCAGTCGATCGCGATGAACCTTAATTTCTTTTGTCTGGAGCTGGGGAAGGGAGGACATTGGCGAGTGGATGTTTTCTCGTTCAGTTGATTCATATAAAACAATTTCCTACCAAATAAATTCATTAATCTTAAAAAAGGTTTCATATATGCAATTATAAACAAAGTTAAAAGGAAATATATAATTAGTTATACCTTGCAAGTACTCAGCGTAATTTTGGTTGGTGAATCTTCCTTTGAAGGTCTGGCAGCATTCTCAAAATCCTGTGTTAACCCAAGTGAAAAAAGACTCATTGGGTCAACATCAATTTCTGCATCGCCTTTTTGTTTCTTTGTGGGAGGTTCACAATCCGCTCCCTCAGTTTGCACTTTCGCATCATTTTCAGTTTGCTGCTATAACAATGATCAAGAATATATTCTTAATTAATTCAAAATATAGATGATATAATGGTTATCTAGCAATGATCAATTAAAAATACATGTTCAACATTTTTTTCATCATGGGCAAGTTCCTCCTCCAGAGGCAAATCGTACCCAACAAATTCCTGTGATAATAATCAGGATTAAGGTTTGTATACATTGAAATTGTACAAGAAAAGCAATTGGTATTATATAACATAACAAGATAAAAACTACAAAATCATACAACTTAAATCACCTTCTCTACATTCTGTCCATGAAGACCTTCATCTTCATTAACAGCTTCCCCCGACCGGGGCAAATTACACTAAAAAAATTCCTATACAATATTCAGGATTAAGGCTTATATACACTGCAATTGTATAAGAAAAGCAATGGATATACTATAGATCAACTCATAACATTGAAATCACTAACATTTTTTTCAGAAATTTTGCTGCCATCAGCAATGTCATCTTCATGGCCCTCAAACTTCTTCTTTTATTCTTTCTTTAAATTGCGGAGTCTTTTGGACACCCACGTAATCTCATTTTTATACCACTGTATCAAGAAATCAAGACAACAATCAAAAATCGCTACTTTAGCACTTCAGCAAGTATTACTTAGCATACCGTATTGGAACAATCAACAGAAACAAACAAATAATATGTAATCATCCTACTCTGTATTAGTTAATGCATCAAATCCAACATCTCAGAGATATTAATCCAGTATATAAACAACTGTTGATTAACATATCACAGTGGAACACTTAAGATGAAAAAATAAACATGTATACGGTTCTCCTTTGTATCAGCTAATACATCAAAATCCAGCACTTCAGAGATATTAATCCAGCATATCAACAAAGATTGCTTAGCATATCAATGAGTATTGCTTATACCACAGTGGAGAAACCAACAGGAAAAAATAAACAATATGTATACCATCCTCCCCTGTACCAGTTAATGCATCAAATCTAGCATTTCAAAGATACTAACCCAACCTAACAACAAATATTGCTTAGCATAACACACTGGAACAATCAGGATGAAAAAACAAACATCATGTATACCATCCTCCTCTGTATCAGTTAATACATCA